GTAGACTTTTTGATGATGGCCATTCTGACTGGTGTAAAGTGATACCTCATTGTAGTTTTGATTTGCATTTCTCTAGTAGGGATGTTGAACATCTTTTCATGTGCCTATTGATTATCTGTATCTTTGGATAAATATCTATTTAAGTCTTCTGCCCATTTTTTGATTGGATCATTTATTTTTTGATATTGAGCCGTGTGAACTGTTTGTGTGTTTTAGAAATTAAGCCCTTGTCAGTCACATCATTTGCAAATATTTTCTCCCATTCTATTGGTTATATTTTAATTCTCCAAAGAACTGGTTTGCTGCCTAAATGATATTGAAAGATTGATTTGCCCCACCATATTTTCTTTTATTTGCTTTTTTAGTATCAATGGGATTTCCAACTAAACTGAAATTCAGAGTTCTATGTTCTAGAATTTTAGGGTTTAATTTATCATGCATTCAAAAGCTTGCATAAGGCACTTAACAAAGGTCCTCTTTCTGAATTCACTGGCTAAATCCAGAGCAAATCTCTGTGATCATTTTTATTGGCCCGAATATTGCTCCCAGTCTTTACTTTATATTGTGCAGGCCTAGGTGTCCATGGGGTCACAAAGAGTTGGACATGACTTAAGTGACTAAACCACCACCACCAGGTAACCCTATTGATTTCCTTTAGTGTGTTTAATTATATTTTCCTGAGGATCAGATTCATATGCCCTGTGTTAAAGAGGCAGAAAAGCACTCTCCAATAAGATGTAATGTCTACTGCACAATATAATTAGGCAAAAGAGATGTAACCATCTTATATAAAGCCCATTTAAATATACCAATATTCATAAGCTTTTATCTCAATTCTATCAGCTTTTATACTTTTAACCTATTCTCCATTAAGTTCCCATCAACAAGCTTTACTCTTACAAGGAGTCCAGAAACAGTCCTTTTTATCTTGACCATTTTATCCATTTTGCATAATAAGGTTCTGGGGTCCCCAGTGAGAGGTTAACCTCTCACTTTCCACTTAATTTTTAAAAATTTTTTCTTAATTTTTTTTACTTAATTAATTGGCCCAAGAAATTATTGGCCAGGTACCTCATAATTTTCTTCCAGTCTTTTAAATATAAATATATATTTAAACTGGGGTGAATAGAGTAGACTTGTTTGAGGTCTTTTAAAGTTGGCATTGGGTTGTGTTCCATGTGCCTGCAAGCCTTGTAGTTGCCCAGCCTCAAGAGACCGAAGAAAGAGCCCCAAGATAGTGACAAGAGACATCAATGATTTAATAGACAGGAGATCTTACATCCCTGAAATAAGTTCCTGAAGTGACATCCCACTGTGTGTGGCAGGCAGGACACAACAGCAGTCTTCGCTACTGGGGGTGGAAGGAGGCTACCATTTATAGGCGGAATTGATATTGGATTGGCTTATCAGTTACCAGGGAAACCAGCAAATGGGGCACATCCCTCATAGCCCCTCAGGTTAACAACCATTAGGAAGGCAGATGTTTTCCTTCCTAGCAGGTGGAGCCTTTCTGGTCTAAGGCTTAAGGAGGTTCGTGTGAGTAGGGTACAGGTGAAGCAGACTGGTCAATCAGGGGAGGCACAGAGAGCAAAATCAGGGGAGGCACAAAATCAGGGGAGGCACCGGTCAATCAGTGTAGGCACAGCCGTGTTGAAGGGACTGACCACAGTGAGGGACCAATAGAGGGTCCCTTTGACCCATTCAAACTTAGGTAGCATTGTATCAAAACTTTTTGTTTTTAATCCTATTAACATTTATTTTATTTATTCCATTTTTTTTTCACTAATGACAATTTATTATTGTTGGAAGCACACAGGTTGATTTTGGTTAAACCAGAACTATGTCTACGTAGAAGTGGGCAATAATAGGTAGTCATTCTATGGAGAACTTGTGCACTTAGTCATCATCCTCACTCTGTTTTAGTTTCTTGACCGACTGCTTATGCCGCTCAATTTCTTTCTGCAGACGCTAAATCTCCTTTGCATGATGAGAGATCTCATTTTCACGGTGTTTCTTCAAGGTGGCCAACTGTTCTTTAGCACGAGCTTGGAAGTATCGTTCCTCTTCGGTCTGCTCTCTTTTTCCGAAGGCCGCACCAGCATCCTGGACCGCACCAGCATCCTGGACCGCGCCTGCACTGGACCTAACATTATCTGCCGGTTCCGAGCCAAAGCCTCGGCCTTGCATTGCCCAGACGCTCCAGACGCTTGCCGGGTATGCGCCGCCAACGCCGTGGCTGCCATTGCTGTCAGTGAAGCACCCCTTATTCCATTTCTTTTCTTTCTTTCTTTATTTTTTTATGTTTTATTTTTTTATTTTTTTTTCTAGGCTAATTACTTTACATCATTACAGTAGTTTTTGTTATACATTGAAATGAATTAGCCCTTATTCCATTTCTTAATTATCATCTAAAAATTTTTATACTTTTGTGATGAGTTCTTTTAAAATTTCCATCTTGTTGGGAAAAATTCTCTAGACTTAAGTTTTTTCTTACTTCCCTGCAAATAAACCTAGTTAATATTAATTATCCTAATTTTTTTTATTAGCATCAATAAGACTCCTTGAGCAGAAGCGCAGACCACAAATAAAGATTCTTAAACCATTTTTTCCAAATTAAAGGAGTTCTTAGGTTAACCATTATATATATATTTTCCCACTGTCTAACTTGTTTTTTTCCCACCAATAAAACAGCTATTTATGATGAGAGCTCTTTAAAAATTTACCAGTTTAGAAGTTTCTCCAGTTTAAATGATCCATCCTCTGGCCATTGATGAAATATATCTTAATAGTAAATCAAACCAATAAGATAAAAGAGGTGTCCCCACAAGAGATCACGAAGGATGCCACTGATACAAGATCCAGAAAAGTTATTCCCCAGGATAGTCTAAGAAAGGGAAGGATTTCACTGTATAGCTGATGCAATGATAAAAAGTCCCTGAGAGCTGGCACAGTCAGAAAAAAGACTGCTCAGAGTCCCGGTCTATTCAGTTGGCTGTCAAATGTACAAAATATGTGTACCTTCCACATGGCAGAGGAAGGTTCTCAAAATATAACACACACACACACAATTAAGATATAGAATAGTTCCATAACTCCCCCCAATTTTCGCTCCTCTTTGGAACCCATTCCCTTTTCCTATCCCCAGCCCCTGGTAACCATCAATCTGATCTCTGTACTGTTTGCCTTCTCCAGACTGTCTCGTCAATGGAATCATGCAGTATATAGTCTTTATAAGTGTCTGGCTTATTCCACTTAGCAATTGCTTTTGAGATGAGTCTATATTTCTGCCTGTATCATTAGTTATAACTTTTTATTGCTGAGTAGCATTCCATGGGGCTTCCCAGGTAGTTCAGTGGGTAAAGAATCCGCCTGCACTGCAGGAGACACAGACAGATATGGGTTTGATCCCTAGGTCCGGATGACGCACTGGAGGAGGGCATGGCAACCCACCCCAGTATTCTTGCCTGGAGAACCCCATGGACAGAAGAGCCTGGTGGGCTGCAGTTCGTAGGTTGCAAAGAGTCAGACAAGACTGATGCAACTGAACGTGCATGCAAGCACAGCATTCCATGGATTGTTGGAGGAAGGGAGACCTCTTCCAGGGCCCGAGACTGGGCTCTAACCCTTGGAAATGAATTGTCTGAGAAGACACACATGCTGACAAAGCAAGAGACTTTACTGGGAAAGGGTGCCTGGGAGGAGAGCAGGAGGGTAAGGGAACCCAGGAGGACTCTGCCACATGGCTTGCGGTCTCGTGTTTTATGGTAATTGGATTAGTTTCTGGGTTGTCTCTGGCCAGTCATTCTGACTCAAGGTCCTTCCTGGTGGCGCATGCATTGCACCACCAAGAAGGATTCCAGCGAGGATTCTGTTTGGTAGGACACGTAGCATCTCCTTTTAACCTTTCCTGAATACTTCTGGTTAGTGGTAGCTTGTTAGTTCTGTGTTCTTACCAGGGTCTCCTGTCGTAAAAGAACTCACGCGAATGGTTACTGTGGTGCTTGGCCAGGGTGGGGTGTTTCAGTCAGTGTTTTTCCCTAACAGTATGGGTATCCCATTGATTTATTTATCTTTTCACCAGTTGACATTTGGGTTGTTTCCACGTTAGGGCTATTTTTGAGTAAATTTCTCTGAACACTTGCATACAAGTCTTTGAGTAGACATACTTTTTTAATTTCCTCTGGGTAAACATCTAAAGGTGGGCTTGCTAGATAATGTGATAAGTGTATATTTATCTTTATTAAAGACTGTCGAACATTCCTACTGGCAACATAAGAGCTCCAGACTCTTTAAGGATCCTTTACATACATATACTCTACTTTTCCTACCATAATAGTCATTTTTGAGAGGATCCTTTTTACCGTGAAAGCTCAGAAAAGGTTTTGTAGGGTGTTTCAGTTACTCACTGTAATGGTTAGCATAACGGATTGCACCATTAAGAAGCTCTCATGTTTAGAAATGAAGACTATCCAACCCCAATCCTCTTTTTCTCTGTTACTCATCACTCCTGAATTTTCTTTACCCTCTTTTTAAAAATATTCATTTGGCTGTACCAGGTCTTAGTTGCAGCACGTGGGATCGAACCAGCCCTCTGCATTGGGGGTGCACAGTCTTAGCCACTTGGACCAACAGGGAAGTCCCTTTTCACTTTCTTCATTAGGGTGACCAACATTAAAAACTTTGGCTAGCTAACTAATTACTAGTGTCAAGGAATTTTATTTTCGATATTAAAAAAAGCAAAATTCATTTCTGGGCTTCTCCTATTCATTCTTCAGTTTTTCTCATCACTCTTGAAGAAAATTCAGGAGTGTGAGTAACAGTCAGAGATAAAGAGGATTGGGATTGGATAGTCTTTATCTGGGGAAGATCCCTTGGAAGAGGGCATGGCAATTCACTCCAGTACTCTTGCCTGGAGAAAACATGGACAGAGGAGCCTGGCAGGCTACAGTCCATAGGGTTGCGAAGAGTTGGACATGACCGAAGTGACTTAGCATGCAGTCTTTACATGTTCTCTCTGAACTTTAATTTTATAGACAGACACATTTCCTGGTGATTTATATTTCCCTTCCCTTATATTTCCTTTCATTTTGATTTTTTGGAAGTCCTTCTTCTCCTTTCCTTTCCTCAGGAGTGTATCTCGCCATCTTTCTTTGCCTTTGGGATGGGTGGCTGCATTTGCCTGCATGATTCCGTATGTGGGGACAGCCAGGTCTTGGCTTATTCTTGACTTTCCTGCATGCAGAGCATCTTTGCTTCTTTTTTCACATGTTTAGAAGGAAAAGAGAGAAAATTACATGATACTCTGACTGTATGTGTCCAGGAAAGGCCCTGTGAGCTTGAAAGCCCTGGGTTTTTATTATCCAAGCAGAAGGAGGTATTCATTTCTACTTGAATAGAAGCACACAGCTCTTTTTTAGACTGGAGCTGACTATTTTGCATAAAACAAAGAAGTTATACATTAGCATGGGGTAGCTGGCTTTTCTCAGTAGCTGTCTAACAATGACTAGAGACAATGGTTTAATTATAAGCTGCCACAGTTAAAAGACTCTTAACCCACATACAATATCTTATCAAAATTTCACCATTCCTTTGGAAAGAGGTTTAAACTGGTTTGTGGAGCTAATGAAGAGCCTACTTTGTCTTTTCCATTTCCTTGCTACTCTCAAAGCATCTCAAGCCTATTTCAGCCTCTGGCTTTTGCCAAAGCTGTTCCCACAGCCTGGGGTGCCTTCCCTCCTTTCTTTTACTTATCTATTATTTACTTCTCTTTCAAAGCTCTTTTCAGGCACTTCCTCCTTTAAGAAGGTTTTTGTTTTTTTTGCATCTTTACAATTTCAGTCCACTGAGCTCTACTGTCTATGGACATGCATTTCTAGTGCACATAATTTAATTCAGATTATCCTTCAGTTGTATGAATTGGTAGTCTTATGGTTATTTATTTCTTTCAGAAAAGAACTATTGGAGAGTAGATACCATATCTTACTCATTTTTGCATTTCAGTCCTTAACACAGCTCCTGGCAGGGACTCGATAAATAATTGTTGGTTGATTGATAAGAGGCCTTTTTAGGAAATGCTACAAAACTTCATCGGCAGCATCACCATTTTAATGCTGGTTTGTACTGTCTGCAGAAGTTCAGTTAGAAACTACCTACCCTCACGTCTTCTTCGGCACTGACTCCTTTTTTCTCCTCCCAGTGAGTTGGACAGCAAAGGGGTAGATGACCTAAAAGAGGAGAATATAGGGAGGATTAGGAAGGATAAACAGACAATTGGGAAATATTTTAAAATATATCTTGCTTATGAATTGTATTCAGCTCCACAGGTTGGGAATTATATTACATTAAATGAGTACATTAAAAATGTAGGACAGATAATGATTGCAAGGTCTTGTTTACACGTAAAGCCACTGAGCACAGTGCTTATTTCTAAGGATGGCAGAGTGAAGTTAGGCTCCTTTCTTCCGCTGGAGGGAGGCACACTTCACCCAAAGGGAAGGTTTCGCCTAGATATCATCCACAGAGTCAAGATTCAGGACTGTGTTTACGAAGAGAACTTGAATTAGCGTCTTAGTGTTTTCTCTATGCCCAGTTCTTATTTCCCCTCTCTCCAGGGTTACTCCAAGGCAGCCACTGTGATCAGCACAGGGAGGAAG